CGTTATTGCTGTCATACTACTCATCTATACAGTGTACTACTACCATTAAATTACACACTACCATAATATTACACACCACCCATTTTCTTGCTCAGTTCTTATCCAACAGCTGTCAAAATTTGTACATTAATTAGTGTATACAGTACCTACATATTCATAAATTTTAAGGGCAAAAAAATAAGAATTGAGTGCAGGACACCAGTTGCAATAGCTAAATAGATCATTTTGGCAGCCTGTTCACTTTGGATCTTAGTTCCTCATGGAATTGCATCACAATAATTCCAAATTATCTTAAACAACTGCCTGAATCCAATCTGGATACTGCTTCAGCACAATATCCTGCACAAATCATGTCAATTGACGCATTCTGACAAGCATGAGATGCATATTGTTGATGCGTGACAGAGACATCCTGTGGGATATCAGAATCGGCGGTTCTCAGCGGTTCTCAGCTGTCACACTATGACGCCAGAGACGTCGGTGCCCTGCTTCATTGACTGGGAGATAGACGTGTCGCGAGGTGTCATACTGTAATGTCATCAATTTCTGTCTCAATCGACGTCCCATTTTCTTGTCAGTAATTTATTGTCATCCATTGGGAATTTCACCACAAAAACACATATATACACTCTTAAGAGGTAGTACTATACAAATATATAAGTATATTTACAAAAATCAATGTTTAAAGGAGATGAAACAAAAAGTTCACTTTGGTGTGTAATTTAGTGGTAGTACACTGTACCTTGCTTAAGCAATTGCGGAAGTAGGTTTGGTTTGGGAACGCCTCGCGAAGGGATGTCCTCGTGTGGTTATCTTGACTCCGTTCTTGCTTTGATGCACAGATTCCGGGAGAAGTAAACACCGAAACCAGTGCCTCGCCTTTTCAACGTTTTGGTGGACTTCAACAGCATGGCGTTTCTTTGGGGTAGGATCCTGTGGGTGATGTTGTGCAACTACCCTTTGTGCAAACATGCCAGGAGGCGAGAACTGCGTGAGGAACTGAAGTGATTGAGAAAGGGAAGGCACGGCCGGAAGGAGGCAAGTGGGAGAGGTTGGGCCGGCCGCGGAGCTCGGTTAGCCGTCGCTAGCCGCTCCCGTTGACGGATGATGCGATAGAAGAAAAGGTTCCGGCAACATGTGGTTGGTTTGCGATTGCGGGGTAATTCATGACCAGGGGAACGCGTGATAGAGCATTGTATCGACCGAGGGGGCAAGGTACTGGGAGGTTGTAGAGTTAGCTGCGCGTCGAGTCAGGCGAACGTCATGGTGAGCGAACATAGCGCGCGTCGGGCGGCCACGTCAGGAAATTTGTTGCAAGTTCGAGTTGGTAGTGACGCGATAAGGGCCTGTGGGAATTGTGACGCAGCGCGGTTGTTGCTGGTCTGTGCGGGCATCGAGAAGAGCATAGTCCACTCAAACGCAGCATAGGGTGCTCGTACAAATAGCTCTTGAAGGGTTCGTATCACTCGGGGATCCGTTATCAGTTCTCATTGAAGCAGACTGGGGAGAGAGAGCTGTGCGTCACGCAGTCACTCAGTCACTAGGCAATGGTCGTGACTCGGCTTATCTGGGGTAGTGCTTCCTAATTAGGGTAGTGCACATACGCAAGCAGAGACCCGGAAATCGCTCATAAGCCCCGCTGCGTGGTCTTGTCTCGTCCTACTCTCCCCGCTCAAAGGGGTCCTCTCTCTTACCTTTCCTCTCTCTACCTCTCTACTACTAAGCAGCTAGGATGCGCTGTCTCCTCTCTGCCTCTCTGGCTTTGGCCACCCTCGCAGGCACTGTCTGCGCTCACCTTCCCCATTCCTCCTCGTCATCATCATCGTCTGGGAGCGTAGTAGGCAAGCGCCGCAAGACTCTCGGCTTCGGGCCATCGCACCCTCACGCAGTATTCCGCTCCTCGCCATATCAGATTAAGACGAATGGCTTCACACCCCAGGACCCCGCCATGGACCCGCTCGAGGTCGCCCGCATCTTCGTTGAGGACGTGCTTAGCGAGCGATTGGACAAGGCTAGTTCGTATAAGATCCGCCAGGACTCGTATACGGATAAGAACACTGGTGTTACCCATGTCTATGTCCGCCAGCTCGTGAATGGTCTCGAGGTGCAGGACGGCGATATGAACATCAATATCAAGGATGGTATCGTGCTTTCATATGGCAGCTCGGTAAGTGTTGCTCGCGTGTGTTCGTTGTATGTACCCCTACTAACCATTTCCTCTCTTGTTATAGTTCTACACGGGCCCCACCCCCGCCCCATTCACCAACCCCTCTTCTTCTGCCAACCCCCACAGCGAATTCTGCCAATCACTCAAGGACGAGCTCCCCCCTCACCTAGAGCTCGCCTTTACCTCTAATAGCCAAGTTGCTATGGGTACTCTCCTCTCCATCCCCCCCGCTCTTATGCATCTACACGCAGACCACTGCGTTTCGCTTTCTTCCCCACCTCCACCCGAGGCCTTCTCGGAGGACCCCGCCGATTTCCGTAGCGCCCTGCTCAAGTTCATGGCCACCGCTACACCCTCCGCGTCTACCGCCGAGGACATCCTCAATAACTTTGGGCAGTATCGCGACGAGATGGTCTTTGACCCCACGCACCACTTCACTTCGCCCTCTGGTGTGGACGAGCACCACGTCGAATTCGAAGTCCGCAACGTCCCTGAGGCAGTGAACCCCGTCAAGGCGCGCTTGGCGTACACACAGGTTCCCACCGCTGACGGAACCAGCGCCGAACTCCATTTGGTGTGGAAGTTCGAGGTTGAGATGCAGGATAATTGGTATGAGACTGCCGTCTCTGTCTCTTATCCACACAACATTATCTCTGTGGTTGACTGGGCTTCCGACTCGCCCATGCCCATCCCGTCATCATCGACCGCACCTATTCCCAAGTATCCGAGCAAGCCTGACCCTGCAACGTACAATGTTTTCGCATGGGGCATCAATGATCCCTCGGTGGGCAACAGGAGCACGGTGAAGGAGAATTTCGATTCCCTCGCTAGTCCTGTGGGATGGCATGCCCTTCCGTATGGGAATGACCCTGCGTTCAAGGGCGCGCGTTTGGTGGGTAAGGAGTTCTGGAGGAATACGACTACCACTTGGGGTAATAACGTACGTGGACTTTTCTTCCTCCGTTTCTCCCTCCTAATCTCAATACTCACTTCTCTCAGGTCTTCGCCCAAGAGAACTGGGAAGGCCAGAACTCCTACGTGAACAACTACCGCCCCGACTCGTCCTCCCGGGAGTTTGACTACAAGTACAAACCAAAGGAGACGGAGAAGGGCGATGCTCTTGAGGAGGCGCAGAAGTATATTAATACGACTGTCGCGCAGTTGTTCTACACGAGCAATTTGGTGCATGATTTGTACTATCGGTGAGTTTGAACGAGGGTGTAGCGCGGGCTAGTTTATCTTTCTATACCTCTTCACTGGCTTCTGCATTGCAGTATAGCGAGGGAAGAGGAAGAGGGACGAAGCTCGCGCTGACTCAAATTTCTTTGAGAGAGGGCACTGGCTGACGGTTCGCTTCACTTCCATAGTTACGGCTTCGACGAGATCTCCGGTAACTTCCAACAATACAACTTCGGTCGCGGCGGCGCCGAGAACGACGCTGTCATCGCCAACGCCCAAGACGGTTCGGGATACAACAACGCGAACTTCATGACTCCCCCCGATGGCCAGAACGGACGCATGCGCATGTACCTCTGGAACACCGCCATCCCTTACAGAGATGGGGATTTGGAGGCGGGGATTGTCATCCACGAGTTGTCTCATGGTCTGAGCACCCGACTTACCGGTGGACCGGCGAACTCGGGGTGTTTGGGCTGGGGCGAGAGCGGGGGTATGGGTGAGGGATGGGGTGATTTCCTTGCGACGACGATTAGGAGCAATAAGGAGTATAGTGACTATGCTATGGGTGCGTGGGCTGCGAATAATGAGAAGGGGATTAGGAATTTTGTTTATTCTCTTGTACGTTCCTTTCCTTCTTTCGTTTTCCCCTGACTGTTTAACTTATATTCCTGCTTCAACCAGAACGAAACTGTTAACCCCTCGACATACAAGACCCTCGACAAGCCAGGATATTGGGGTGTACACGCCATCGGTGAAGTGTGGGCTGAGATCCTCTGGGTCGTGTCGCAACGCCTCATCGAGAAGCATGGCTACGCAGACGACCTTTTCCCGCCTACCCCGTCTGAGAATGGAGATGTGCCCGAGGGCGATTTCTATAAGCCTCGTAAGGGCGGTAAGGGCCCGTTGGTGCCTAAGCATGGTAATTCGTTGATTGTCCAGTGAGTTTTACACCGCGCTTTCTTACGTTAAGACAAGAACTAATGTGCTCGTTAGACTCGTCCTCGACGGAATGAAACTCCAATCGTGCCGCCCGTCGTTCTTCGACGCGCGTGATGCGATTATCCAAGCTGATCAGATCCTCACGGGTGGAGAGAACTTCTGCACTTTGTGGAAGGGCTTTGCGGAGCGTGGGTTGGGCCCGGATGCGAAGGTTGAGGGTAGGACACCATGGGGTGGAGGAGTGAGGACGAATGGTTATAAGGTGCCGTTGGCTTGTGAGGAGTATTGAGCGTGCGCGTGAGCGCGTGCTCTGGTGCTTTCTTTGACTTCGGTGTCGTTCGACTATAGCCTACTCACTGCTGCATCACCCCCTCTTCTGTTCCATCTATCATCGTCTACACATACGCACTCGCATACATATGGGATACTGGATTGGATTGAATTCCTTGTTTCGTTGATTTGGAGGGGGTTGTATCATAGTACCTCGTCTGTTCTGAATTTGTCGTCGTTGTTTACGCACATCTTACGCCGCTACTTGTATATCCGTTTTTATCTGTCGTTCAATGCTATACACTACTATCGTTGTTTTATTTTCATGGATACCTGTGAGATTTGCAGTAATATTCGATGTTATGGACTTGAAAGTTTTGGCGTTGGTGCTGTGCTCATTGAACGTCGAATTATTATGGCTGTTAGATACACTCCAATTCCCATAGGTTCAGTGGTCTAGTGGTTATGATTTCTGTCTTACAGTCTTTGAACTTCTGTGTGCACAGACGGTCCCCGGTTCGACCCCGGGCTGAACCATTTTTGTCATTTACACTCTGGAAGCAAGGAGACGGTTCCACCCCTCGGCCGTCATTGGATCACACAAACAAGGTCTTGGTCGTTTCAAAGTTCATGCTGTTCTCATCAAAACCTTCCTCTGGTAAATCCAGTCTATGATTTCAGAAGCCTTGTTGCAACCCCACCTAGCTATTGAACTTTGAAGCAAGAACTTGTGGAACGAGACTTGTTGCCTATCCGATGACGCGAGAACTCTCTTCATTTTATGGTTCAGTGGTCTAGTGGTTATGATTTCTGTCTCACAATATATGTAACGCATTAACCGTGCGCACAGAAGGTCCCCAGTTCGATCCTGGGTTGAACCATTTTACGTTTGTTTGACCGTCCCAGCGGCCTGGGTTATGTGGCTGGCCGCTTAGGACATTCAGTCTATCTACCTCACGGCATCTCATCATGAACTGGGTTCAAACATAAAGATACATCTATCTATGCTGCTGCGGATGTCACCTCATTTTTTCACAGGGTTAACCGCTGCCGTTGTCGTACGAAACCCTTTGGTATGAACCTAGCGATAGTAATCAATAGAATCAACTGCGGACAAGATTTGGGTGCGGCAATGAGGTACTATATGAAGCTGCCAATTAAAAGAGATGTGATGCCCACCACCGACTCAAATGCCTTCTAATCATGCAGCCGTACAACTTCCCTTGTGGTACCACCAGCCGTTCAAGGCTATCTACATCTCAACGAGGCTTCTCTCTCTCATTGCATTACTCCCGTTCTGGACTGTGCTTTACACCGTGACTTCACGTCCGCGCAGCTCATGGAGTTTAAGAGAATCTGTAATGGTTCGCCTCCTACGGCAGTTGATAACTCTGGTTGCAGATACTGGTATCAGTCCACTCAGCACTGATAAAACTCACGAAGTTCCGCAGCACGAGTTGAAAGAATCAAGCTTCATCTGGATTTCGCCTGCAGATTCGGACGCTGTTCGTGGTCCTGCAGTGGATGAGCTGGTCAAGCCAGTGCGGATTCCGGGATATGTATGGCCGAAAGGGAGAACCCTTGATGAAGACAATTCAGGAGGGTTTGTGATGTTGTTCATTCACGGAGGAGGATATATGATGGGTAGTGGTCATGAATCTTTCCCGGAGCTCCGTAAGTTAATTTCTATGGCATCCAGTCAATACCACACTGATAACATTTTGTAAATAGACATCGTTCGTGAAATGTACAGGGTAAGTCTAAACTTGCATCGACGAAATTGAAAATAGTTAAACATGTACGTCTTTAGCTCTGCAATATTGAAAGCATTCTTTGTATGTCCCGTCGCCCTTTGTTCTATCTATTGGCATTAAAAGCTCGTGTAAAGCGCTCGATTACAGATTAACTCACGAAGCCTGCCATCCCGGCCAACTTCTGGATGCTCTTGCTGCATATTCTCATTTAATTAACGTTGCGAACATCGAACCATCACGAATCATTGTAGTGGGGGCCTGTGCCGGAGGTATGTTATTTGTGTTCCTTCATGCTTGCGTATACGTGCCGATAGAAATGTTGATTCTTTCACTCCAGGACATCTGGCTCTCATGTTATTAAGATATCTACATGATGAGAAATCATTACCATTACCTCGCGCTCTCATGATATTTTCGGTATGTTCAAAATACCAATTGTCTCCGTTATATACAATAATTCATTATCCTCTTAAATAGCCTATGGTAGACATGAGTAAGTGAATAATTTGGCATCTATAAACACAATCCCTGAATTCGCATTTTCAGCCATTGACGAAGAACTGCGAAATGACGTGACGAAAGAGCGGCCAAATTCTGCAATTGACGCTTTGATTACATCCTATATCGCAAATAGTAGGTTCCTCGGACATCATCCCAAAACTCTACTAGCTTCGCCGCTACTCTCAGCAAGTAAGTTAAACTTCCCTCTTATCTCTTCGCCTGACTGATGTATCTCTTATTTCCAGATCTCGCTCCTCCTGGATCATATCGTGGGTATCCAAAAACGTTTATTTCTGTAGGAGGATGCGAAATATTTGAACGGGAATGTGCGAACCTTGCTGAGATGATGCTTTCTGATGGCGTCTCCGTCACATTAGATGTACAACAAGACGCTGTTCACGATTTCTGGGGTTTTGGAGTCATCGTTCCCTCTAATTTAGCAAGGCTCAAACTTTCAGAAGCCGTCAGGGAATGGGTAAAAGATCTGTGAGCCTAGGAATTTGGACTGATTGCTGTAAATTTTATATACATTTTTTCAAAGAAAATTCAAGAGTCCCAAATTGTTAATAGCCTCAACGCTCAACCATTTTTGTACTTGTATTCTATAAGATTTTATATCACGTACGCCGATTTTTCCTGATCATCGTACAGTTACAGCTGATCCAAAAATGGGAGACGCAAAACGACGAAACATGCTCTAGGATTTTTGTTTACAGTTGGAGTGAATATAAGCGGCCTATACCATATCAGGTCGCAAATCCGAGCGTTAGGGCCAATTAGGACTCATTTCTGGCCTTTTATGGTATAGTCCTACTGTAGAGTTGTTTGGCTAACTCCAATTATAAATAAAAATCCTGGAGTGGAATTCGTCATTTTGTGTCTCCGGTTTTTGGATCAGCTGTAAACTATATATTTTCTATGTCAGTGCAGGTCTCAAGTTGTATTGAGAACAAGATGATAGATCTATATCAACTGAGTTGTTGTTGACTGACACGTAACAGCTTTTGTATCATCTTTAGGAAATCGCAAGCAGGACCATTGTAAAGTATATTTAGGCAGGCACAGTTTATAACTTTATGGACTATAACATAGCCATGTATATGATTTTACATCGATTTCGTCAATATAACTCTATTGCGTGAGGTTTTCCAGAGCCGCATAGAACGCGAGGCGCGATTCGGCTTTGATTCGGCTTTTAGCACCATGGCGCCACGCGACTACGTGATCAGAACGTCCCTATTTGAACTTGTTACTTCACTCACCCCACATCTAAAGTACAATAGTCCACTCTACACTCAATAGTCACCTCACCCTCGCCTACTATAAAGCACGAACTATGCCGTCGAAAATTCCATGGGAGAGTCTCAAGGCAGAGACTCTCCGTGCGATCTGCAGGGACCTTGCTAATAAAGCATTAAACCTGAAGCGGGATCAAATGATTCACTTCCTCGAAAATGTGGCTGAACAAGGGTGTAAGTGACGCTCAATCATGCAAAATTTCTCCTACTTGACTCTGTCACCGACAGTGGAAGTTTCATTAGGAAACCTTGAAGAGACTCAACCACCAAAACGTGCACCAAGACCAGCCGCTGCCAGCGCTACCTCGGAGAGCGCGCACAATACACGTTTCCAGGGGACGAAAAGAGTCCGTGTTTTCAATACTCGACTCGGGTTGTTGACGCGTCGCAAGGCTTCTAAAATCGCTGAAGAGAGACGTAAACGGACTCCAAGGGCCAAGGCCCCCAGAGACAATCTGCCCAGTAAACCTGGCAGGAGTCGAGAGATCTTTGCTGGAGTCGTACTCTCTCCGAGGCAGCGAACATTTGAACGCCGACAGAAGGATATTTTGATCAAAACAGAGATAGGAACGGATGAAGACAGAGATGAAGAGTCTCATGGGAAGAATGCAGAAGAATCAAGCTTGGCTGATTCTAATAAGGGTGAGTAAAGATGCGTTCTTGAAAGACGCTTTCATTTCGATCAAATTTTGGCATAGAGAATAACTCTAGAATTGTGGAGGATCCGCCAGCGGGCGTCGATGCTGCTAAGCCGGACGGGGAACATGGTGACGATATGGAAATGGAGATGCGCGATGTGTAAGTCGACCGTCGCCGATTGCCTGAAACTTCTTGTATTTGTTCCGTAAGTGGCGGTTTTAAATAACACGATCAAATTTCCAACAGTGGGTACCTTCGTCAGGTAGTTTCACTCTTGTTTTTGTGTACTGTAAGTGTCTTGTAATTGTTTCTGGCCCTTTATGCCATATCTCAGATGGAAAACGAAATGATGACTCGGACAATAAGTATGCGGCACGGTGATATAGAAGTTCTGCAGCTCATGTGGAAATAACTGGGTCCTATGCCACAAATGAAGATCGCCATCCTTAACCAAGCATCACGGCAAGATTATAAAGGTAATGGATCTACTTGTATATCTTCCAATTTAAAGGCTAATTATTTCTCATGGGACACTTCCCAGCTGATTTCGATCCAGCAAGTGTTCAGTGAACCACAAGTGAGGGTTCCTTTTGTCTGCCTTCCTACCCGCCCAATGCCATTCCGTCGTGGAGGACGTCCCTCTAGTGGACCTATTCGAGGCAAAACACAAGAAACGAAGGTCTATAGCACGAGATCTTCGACAAAGCAATTTCATGAAGATGAGCCATACGCTGAACCCAAATTTGGAAAAGGGACGAACAAACGCATGCACGCCACACCAAATTCCACGTCGTCGAGCACACTTGAGGGCAGAACAAAACGACCCAAACGCGAGCAGTCTCTTACTCGTGGTCTGCCGCAGAAATCCTTTGTAAATGAATTGCTAAAATCTAATGAAAAACTAATCACTATCAAAATACCGAAGTAAGTACTTCCCAGCCTTCCATATCAACCGACGGTTAATAAGTTCATGCCCGATCTAAGAAGGACTCACGCTCGAAATGTAGGCTACGATGAACTGTGTGTCTCCCCCAAATTTTCAAGGCTGTGAGTATGATCTTTCTGACCTTTAAGTATAGAAATATATCCGATACCAAAGATTCGACTGCGTTCAGAGGTGAGTCCGGCCATATTTGATTTCAAAATTCCGTAAATCCATCATTGAATCATTATAGATGGGACCTTCCGCAGCCAAAACTTTGAACAAGAGAGCTCTACGGTTCTGAACCATCATACAGAAAATTCAACCGGCACTGATGATTCACAACGCCAATATAAAAGCCTACCAACAGACGCAGAGACCTTACAAAGGCTACTTCATGAGGCAGTACAGGAGTTAGAGCATGCCAAAACATCTGTCCGTCGGTTACAGGAGGTCCAGAAGAATTGCCAAATGGAGAACACCAAGCTGTGTAGTGAAAATAAAGAGATGAAGACGAGAATCAACAACCTAGAAGATGGTCACCTAAGAGCGAGGGAGGATAGAGGATCTTCACACACAATCACGGCTGAAATCTGGAAGCCAGATTCATTCAGCGACTCGATTGACCAAATGTCAGAGGCTGATGTTAGGCAGATGCTGGAGAAACTGAACAATGATGTCGAGGAATTCTCGGACTGCGTGCTTCGTAGCGTCGCCAGCAGTCCTGTTGGTCGTTCTTCGATTAATATTCCCGACAAAAGTTCTAC